TTATCGCTACGGCTATTGTCGGGATATTTGTTTATCACTATATCAAACAACAAGAGCAAAATAACTAACTATGGTGAATTGAAAAGTTTATCTCCCTGACCTCAAAGGAGTTTTAACTGGCTTTTATGAAGAAAGTTTAAAAGAAACAGTCGAAACCAAAACTAACGAGTTTAAAACTCTTATTCAGCAGAATATTGCTTATGGTCAAAAAACCCAGCAAGCTCTAATTGCCATTGCCTTAGGAATATTTTTTTTATTACTGATTGCTTATTTTTGAAAATAAAACTCGCACCCCGACCACTTTTGCCTTCCTATCTAACCTAACTACAAAAATCAAAATCTAATCTCAAATATGAATAATAATCAAGAAATAAATATGAATTATCGCTTCAAGTATCTAGCCATTGGTATTATTACCTATGTAGTAGTAACCTACGCTTGAAAGATGTATAAAAATAACAAATCCGAATAAAAATTATGCTGCAAAAACTTCAAGAACACAAATGAACCATTCTCGCGATTGTCTTAGTGATTATCGCCATTTACTACTTTTATCAGAAAAACTATGGTGAAAACACAGTTTCCTAAAATCAATAAAACTAGTTCTAAAACTAGTAAACTAACTCCGTTGGAAAAATATTGAAATCAAGTAGACCAGCAAAGCCATTATTTAGTGGCGAACATCTTAAACCAATCCTTGCCCTTACCTAATTTAAGAGACAAGAAGAATCTAGATTTAGATCGCGATACTGATTACCAAAAAATCTTTTCGGCTTATGAAAACAATTATTCCGAAGTAGAAAGCTTGCCTGACAGTCAAGTTCTAGCCGAAGAAATGGCTTATGAATATTTGTTTTTAGTAATGAAGAGTATTCTCAAAAGTTTAAGCGTTTTTAATTGTCATCTTGATTTTGAAAACTTAACCCAAGAATAATTATGCCAAATATAGATAAAATAAAAAAAACTAAAAAAGTTAAGAAGTCCGTAAAAACTAAAACTCCAGCCAAATCCCGTCCAGTTCCTGCCAAATCCAACACCCTCGCTTATTATGGTTGCCTGATTGACCAAATTGCTAATCCGGACAACCAAAAAGCCAAAATTACCCAACTAGCCCATCACTGCAAATGTAATAAAGGTAAGGTGGCTCAAGCTCAACAAGAACATAAGCAAAAGTTATTAAAAGAAGTCGCGACCAACTATAAAAAGTTTGGTCAAAGTTTAGGCCATTATTTACAAGCCGATATTGTCGGTTGCTTAAAGGATAAGAAATAATTAGTTTTTACCAGACTGATTAACATGACTGACTGCTGTGAATTAGCCAAACAAGCCCTGTATGTTATTGCCGGAGCCTTTGGAGTAATCTTGGCCTTATTAGCGATGTTTTTTGGCTATAATCTTAAATTAGGTACTCGCACGGCTAAACTGGAAAAGAAAAACGGCCATGAATTAGACTTAATTGCCAAATTAAAAAGAAAAGATGAAGAAAAACAACAACAAATCGACCAACTAAAAAAAGAAGTAGTCGAATTAAAGAAAAATAAAAGCTAACTATTTCCCTGTTTACAGAATATCGTATTTTGTCAACTTATTAGCCCTAAATCTTGGTGAAAGCCTAGTTAAGTTGACAAATTTGCTAATCACTAAGTTGACAAAAAAAAAATAAAATGGCTAGTTTCTACCGTTAATTATTTTCTAACTTTTTTGTAATGTTTAGTTAGAACGACATCATAAGCCGGTAAAACTAGCCACCAATTTAAGCGTAATGAAATCACAAACCGAACAAGTTCTTACCCTAACCCAATTAACTGCCCTCTGTCAAACTCCGACTAGTATCCATTTACCGCAAAGACATGATAAGTTATTAGAAACTGTTTTATTAATGGCTTTTCTCGGTCTCCGAGTATCCGAAGCCATTAATTTCACTTGACAACAAATACCAGTCGAAAACAAAACGGCTTTTCTGGTAAATGGTAAGGGTAATAAACAAAGATTAGTTTTTAATCTGCTTAATAGTTCCTATATCAGCAAAAAAGCCAAAAGTGATAGCAGTAAAGATAAATGGAAAACCATTTCTCGGATGGCTATCTGAAAATACCTCAAACAAAAAAGTACTGAATTAAACTTAACTTGAACCATTACCCCGCACACATTAAGACGCAGTTTTGCCTCCCTTTTACATTACGATTATCACTTAGAACCACCCGCTATTCAACAATTATTAGGACATTCTCAGTTTCGCACCACCGAAAGATACTTAAAAAAAGATACTCGGTTTTTACTGAATTCTTTACAAAGACATGGATTTATGCTCTAATTATGAAAAAACAAACTTGTTTACTCTGCCAAAAAAAAAGTTGACTGGGTAGCACTAACAAGGGAGTTTTTATTTGTTGAATTTGCCAATTAACGGAATTTCCTGGTCAATAAATTTATGACTAATACGCAAATATTCATTCTCGCCTTGGTGCTGATTGTGCTAATTTATTACTGACCGAACCAAACTAAAACTCGCCCTAACTCCCTTTCTCCGACTCTCGAACCAATTATTTTAACTGAACCCGAACCATTAATTAGTTTTCCCTGCGGTCAACTAGACCCCGATTGAACTAATATTGACTGAAATTTTACGGCTAGTTTAGAGGCAACTCGGCAAAAACACCACGGACAAACTTTACAAGAACAGTGATTAAAGGCTAATTTTACCTATGCCGAAGTTAAAGAATGAATAAATATTGGCTTAAAGGCTTGGGAAATAGATTTAGCGGCCTGATTAAGAGACCAAAAAAGAATGACCCCCGAACAAGTTTTGAATTATGGCAATATCGAACAATTAAGAGGGGAGTTTGAGAAGAGTAAACCGATTTGGCGGGAATAGATTGCCAGTAAAGATTAAAAAATTATGACTAAACAAGAACTTCAAAAAGAGTTAAAAGAAAAAATTAAGGAGGGAATTAAGCCTAGTGATATCAAAAGATTAAAAAGAAGCAAGTCCGAAAGTGATATTTCTAATATTCCCATCCCACCTCCTTTACCAACTAATCCTGAATTAACTGCTTTACAAGCCGAAAATACTGAGTTAAAAAAAACAAATAGCCGCATTAGAAAAGAAACTAGAAGAGAAAGAAGTTTTTACCGAGGCTCCCGAAGAAAATACTGAGGAACTAAAAACTAAAATTAGCCAATTAGAACAGCAAATTTTAGAATTAAGATTAAGCAAAATTAAAGACTTTGGGGAATATTATGAAAAAAAGACCGAGTTAGAAAATGAATTAACTAGTAAGCCAATTTTAACGGAACAAAAAAATAAAACTAGTTTCCTCACCGCTGACCCTACTTTTAGCCCAGATTATTTACTTTTACTCTGAATTACCTTCATTTACTGCCTAGCTCTGTGATTACTCAGTAAAAACAGTCCCGAAAGATATTACCAAAAAATTGAATAAATTATGAATGACCTCCTATTTTACGCCCTAGTTATTGCCCTGCTCTACTATTTTTTTATTTATTTACCCAGACAGAAGCAAATAAACCAACCTGTTAAGCCTTTCACCCAAGACCACAGCACCCAAACTACCAACTCCAACCCAATTATTACTGATAATTCCGACTTAGAACCAATTCTGGATAACCTAATTAAAAATATTCAGCAATTAAATAGAGAAATTAAATAAAAATGTTAAAACAAAAATTAGAATTACTAAATAAAGAGTTCACCACTCTGAAAACTAAAATCACTACTAAATTACAAGCCCAACAGCAAACTATTACCGAAACTAACGCTAAACTCACTGAAAGCAACCGTAAATTAGAAACCACTCTCAAAGAAAACTCGGAAAATGAAAAAGTTTTAGAGCAATTACTGAAAGAGTTTAAAGAGTTAGCGGAACAATTAGCCTAATATGTTACGAGAGCAAGTAATAAGCAAATGAAATGATTTAAAGGAGAAAGTTCAAATTATTGAAAACTCTAACGAGTGAAAAAGAATGGCAATTATTCGCTACGAAATCGAACTTCATAACCTAAAAGCGAAAACTAATGAACCGAAAATAATGCTGCTTGGTCAAGAAGAATTTGAATACTGAAAAGAGCTTTTTGAATCCCTGAAAAACAAAATCAATTCACTTACTATTGAAGAAGTCGACTAATCATGCCAAAAAAAAAAAAAAAAACAAGAACAAGTAATAGAAATGTGAACTGAACTCAAAATTAAACTTATGAAAACTATTACCGAACTAAAAACCATTCACCAACAAGGTTTTAGCCAAGTCTATGGTTCCCGAGCCTTACAAAAGC